AGGCATAATCGTCTTCTTAGTGGTGAAGGCCTGGGGGTGCGGTAAGTACGTAGATGTCGGTGTATTGTGTAAGGCTGACAGGTCCCTTTATAAGTCTAATTCACCTGGTCGTTGTTTCGCATCGCCCTAGTTATGATGACCTAGTTCTTGTCTGCCCACAGGCTAACCCTTTCTTTGCTCAACTGTGACGCCAATGTGAGCGCTTGGACAGGCCGGCAAAAGTACGTGGGGATTTGTGTGTGTGTCGTCACATCCGGTGGTACTAACCAGGTAGTTCCGGTGGTCCTCTGTCGCGTTAACAATAAACCCTAAGAATTGGGTGATAGGAAGCCCGTTGACTGTCAAAATAATAGGGGTTGATTTACCAATGTTGAGTTAATAAGAAGAATACCTGAGTCACTTTTGAGATATCTTCAAGCGTTCCTGTGGGTATGTAATGGCAGTCAAAACTACAATTGGTGTTCTGTATGCGTTTCGCTTATACGAATAAGGACATATTTGAGCAAAGTATACAGTGTCTTTATGCGTTCGCATCAATCATTTGAGACTGGGGTGTGATGCCCTTGGTTGACAGAGATTTCAAAATATCCAGAGATAGTATATGAGGAAGACAAACATTGTGATGATTTTAAAGAGAAGGAGAACAGCCAAATCACGGTGAAGTGTTCGGTGTGCAGAATAAATGGGCCCTCACAGCTCGTCAACCTATAACATTAGATGGGACGTATAAAGTAGGTGTGTGTGGTCAAAGTTGACCTCATATACATGGTCGTCGCATTATCATCTCGCTGAGGTTGACTAGAAATCTATTTAATGCGCTTTAAAACGAAAGAACCAGTCAAGCTGAGAATCTCCCTGTAGACATGGACTAATCCTGTTCTGGAGAGGCAACTGGGCCACCGACAGCGCAAGACACGGCCGAGAGTGTGCTATTGCGTATTATCAAATGCGTTCTAGTAAGACTGACTGACACTTTTTGGGAATGTGGACGTTCCCACCATCTGCACATCAAGTAGGTCAGTACCATTTCTAGCGCAAATCTACCTCTATCGGCTATGTCGATCGATGCATGCGGCTTTCCCGGTCATTAGAAGAAATTAGCGGCCTGAAGACGCACAGCAAATGAAGAAATTGCTTTATTTGAGACATTCGAGGGTCCGATCATAGCAAGTAAAAGTAAATTTTCATATTATTTTAGAACAGGTAGACAGAATCTCTAAAGTATTCAATTCGTGCTTTTTGAATAAACTATACGATAAGAAAAGTGATTAGCAAGCAGTGAAAACTCCTTTACCGAATTAACAAAATAACTGTGAGCGGATTGACCTTAGGGAAGAAAAAAATATCGCTCGTGAAAGGATAAGATAGCAGATAGGACCGGCCTGCATGCGGTAATACATAACGGATTCTAAACAGACATCATCAGGGCAAAACTGCCGCCATTGAAGGGGTGAATGTGCGGCCCAGAAAGGACTGATGTGCATATAGTAGTATATAAAGGATCCTAAAAGGATATCGGCAGGGCAGAAAAATTTCTATCAAGAAGGGGTAAGTATGCGAGTTAGGCAGGACTGGTCTGCATGCGTTATTGAATAAGGGATTCAAAACGGACATCGTCAGGGCAGAATTCACACACCAGATGAGGCCATTCGCGTCAAGGTGGCGAGAAGAGAGGGACCAGACGCAAACAGTCGTAGTCCGCAGCAAGCCCAGCAAAGGAGTGAGCAAGGGAGACACGACCATGAGATCTCTTTGCTGACCGGCAAAAGTACTGGTAGATGGCGGATATAGAGGATTCCGCTATGACAGTCGAAAGACCTCTTGGGGTCGAAACGAGGAGATGACATAAAGAACCGCGAAAATCATCGTTTCGGGGGAGAAGTAATTACAGTGGGTTTAGTAGCCAAATGAGAACTGGGGGTTGTGAAAATATAAGTGAGGATTTCCACTCGATCTACCATTAAATCCCAGGAGGATCCTTTTCAAATTCAAGAAGTTGAATATTCGGGACTAAAACGATCAATAGTAACTTTGTAATTTCCGGTGTAAGGTGTTTGCGTAATTCGATTTGAATGTCGATAACTTACGCGATGATCTAAGCTCTAGTGGAAGATTATTACAAACGAAGACCTATTTGGATGCAAAAAAGAATGGGGCTTGGATGTAGTGCGATGAGGCGGCGGAATCACCATTGAGGAGTTTCGTGTGGCATGCTGATTAGGGCACAGAAAATGATTCGCTGGACAAAAATCAGGGATTGCATTGAAAATTATCCTTTCAAGAAGTTTTGCTAGATACGGTGTTTTGTGCATGCCCCGATAGTTATTAACATTAGACCGAGATCCAGGCTTGATGACAGGAATGATAATTGACGTATTTCATGTTTCAGGGAAAATCCTTTTGAAATGTAAACCGAGAATAAATGACTTAGCAGTATGGAAATATCGGATGCTTGTTTAATAATTGGATTTGGAATCCCGTCCGTCCCTGAGCAGTGTGTTTTTCAGCGAGCTTACACGTTTATTAATTAGATATGAGGAGACATCGATTGTATTCAGTGTCCTATCTGAAGGTGAACGAAAGATAGGGACTAGTTCGGACGCACTAGTAAGGTGTTTTTCAAAGGAAGCATTTAGAAACTCCGCCTTGTCAGTGTCGTCGATGAGGAAGGTTTTCTATCGATTAGCAGCGGTGGAATTTCGTGAAGACGCTTGGAGGAGGACCGATGTCACTAACATTTTACCGACGGATGTGCCAGGGTTCGGATCACTGAGGGCAAGTGAGTCTCTTTGCCTGTCGCGTGCTTTGCGCATCCTTGAGGCCATTTCAAAAATATCTTTGATTCTAAGGTGGACGGATAAATAACTAATGGCTATGTCATGAAACTGGTGACTCAAGATAAAACGAGGAACAAGGGAATCCAAAGAAGTAGACTTGAGACATCTACGAGGCACAGACTCTAGGATACCTTTGGAAACATTGGACATAACATCACAACGAATGGTTGCATTGCTACGGGAGAGAAAACCACGCCAATCTTATGATCCAATATGGTTATTAATTATGTCGTTATCCACGCAATCGTTGTTTGGTTAAGTCCTTACTGTGCTAGTCTTTTTTGCAAAGGCAAACGGTGAGCAACAATAAATTAATACGTGGTCACTATCACAGAGGTCTGTTTTGAAATCAACAAAAGAGAGGCAATGTCGTTGGTAAAGATAAGGTCCAAAATGCGATTAGCTCTTGTTGAGAGCGCACCAGATGGGACCAGTTAGAAAAATTCACAAAATCTTGAAAGGGTTGGAATCTGGGTGGACTGATATTGGACACCCAGTCTGTTTCAGAAAGTTTAAAATTTCCAGTGATTATTTTAACATCAAGGCGTCTTTCGAAATTGATTTCAAAATTTCACAAATTTATGCAGCATCACTGGCTGAAGAGTTTGGGAATTGTAGATACACCAATAATTGCTTTTGTTTGGGGTGAGAGACTAATAGATGCAAAGAAGTAATAATAATGATTTATTAAATTCCAGTTAACAGGCATTGTCAAGGAAAGCAATTAAACACAAATCCGACCAGCAGTGAAAAAAACTCCTGAGGTAAAGTAATAAAAATATAGTCGATGATGGTTTCTATGGTTTGGAGGGTTCAGGAGAAAAAACTGCTGGTGTAAGACTTTCGACCGTCAAGAAGGAGGGGGGGGGGGGTGCACGGTATCGGAGATTATCGGACGTCAATTCCTTTCATGAAGTTGGGGTTAGTCAAAGTAGAGGCGTTGAGGAACAGCTGGTGAGACCGACCATAGTGTTCAGAGACCACAAACGCCATCGTTACGGTACAGCACCCAAAATTTGTGGGAGCTTTTCTGAATGTAAAAATCAAGTAATAGTTCTCTTAAATAAAGGATAATTTTGCAGAGTTTTCACACTCATGGGCAGTTTATTCCAAATAGCAATTGCATTTACAGAATAGAACCGACGATATTTAACAGTACGTGCCAAAGGCAGAAATAAAAAGACCTCACGGTGACTGTTACGTCGCGGGTGGATATGATGCCTTAAAGAGGTGAGTGGGTTAAATGTGTGATTATATAAGATTTTAAATAGCAAAAATAGCCCCTTTTGTAATCTACGGAACCATAAAGGATCAAGGCCCGTAAGCCGGCAACGTTATTGGTAAGACAAATGTCGGTGTTCCGGGGTTAAAATTCTCTTGGTAAAAAAGTGCTAAACGGATATTATTTTCTTTCGCTCAGTAGCACGCATGAGGCTAAATAGAACCGAACAGTATTCCAGACCAGGTCTGACGTACATGTTAAAAAGGCGCATTCTGATTTCCCTAGTTTTGAAGTTTCGTAGGATAAACCCGGTCGTTCTACGTGCTTTGGAGACTATCAAGGCGCAGTGCTCCGAGAGATTGAGACTCTTGGAGTATGATACGTCCAGATCCTTAATAACCCCATGCACATTTATGGCGTGGATGAGGAAGCATCTAGGTAATAGGGTGAACGAGGAGGCATCTAGGAAATAGGGTGAGTGTTTTACGTAGGATCTAAGATAAAGAAGATCACCGCGCCTTGCGTAGTTGTGCGGTCTCGACAGTAGAAATCAAAGTCATCTATAAAAAGCGCAGAGACAGGAATTAGAGAATGGGTCCAAGATTCTGTTATACATATAATATCAGGCCTGATTTCGAGAGCAATGGCTCTGATTTGGGTATCTTGTTAATAAAAGACCTGGCTGCAGCGTATCTGGCTCGGGCCGTCAGGACATCATGCCACAAACGCGTGACAAGCGAACGATCAAGGTCATGGCCCCCTGTTCACACCTTCTTTGTGCTGATTGGCCACCCATTAGCCTATGACAGTCCCCCTTGCCATATACCCGGCCGTTTCCACAAGCCTCCTCACTTGTGCTGTCTATCGTACTCAGTACACGTCCTATTTCCAATTAGCCTTCTGTTTTGCATACATAACATTGGCGACGCAGTCTAACGAACATGTCTTCATTGCTGCCTACACCGTTACCTTTCTGGCCAAAGAACACCCAGAAGCCCTCAAATGACTCGTGGTTGCAATGGAGAAAGACATTTGAGGATTATATTGAACTGCTCCCGATTTTGTCACCCACGATTGTACTAGACGTCCCATCTAAGTTGAAACTCCTTCGGACGAATCTCGGAGAGTCGGGACAACGATATTTCGATGCCCTCAATCTACATAAGGCTATAGATCTCCATACAGCCTTCTCAAAACTCGAGTCAGCGTGGGGAGGAAAGGACAACGTCTTTCTCAGTCGCTATCGGTTTTGTCAAATGTGTCAAGAATCCAATCAATGTGTCAGTGATTTTATTACTAATCTGACTCTCGCCATCCAGGACTGTGGCTATAAAGAGATCAAGGCAGACAACTTCGAGCCCGCAATGCTCGTTCAGCAGTTGATCGTCGGTCTGCGCGATGAAAAAGCTCGGGAAAATCTCTTATCAGAGAAGAAGGATTTGTCATGGGAGAAAGCCTGTGATATCGCCAGTCATCGGGAGCGCGTGCGACAAAACCTTCAGCAGCTGAATCAGTCAAATGATGGAGTGATAGCATCCTTGGAATCTGAAATGGCTGTCTCCCTAGTCAACACTGCTGTGTCTTCACCTAAACAGCGACCCTCAGCTCCCTCAAAACAACTACCATCCTGCTACCGTTGTGGTCAGCATCATATCCGGTGGTCAGACTGTAGACACCAGAAGACGGTATGCCAGTTTTGCAAGAAAGTCGGCCACATCGAACGAGTGTGTTTCTCCAACAGACGAGCGAATACTAACACGCATGCAACCTACCCTAATCCAGCTGGCGATGGCGAGGCGATACTCCGAATGTTTTCGGCCAACGCGCCGCTCCAATCGCCCTACACCATCACGCTTCCGGTTGATCACCATCCCGTGAAGTTTGAAATCGACACTGGCTCAGCTGTCACTCTCATCAATGAGGCCTCCCTTCCGAAATTACCCTCCCTCCTTCCGGCCAGCTCAACATTCCGTAGTTACACTGGACAGAACGTAGACGTCCGAGGGGTCTTTACAGCCGAAGTCGAGCATGATGGAGAACTTCATTACTTGCCGGTTCATGTGGTGAGAGGAAGCCAGCAACCAAATCTCCTTGGACGGAATTGGATTAAATGTGTGCCTTCTGTGCCATCCTATGTACATCGGATTGGTGTAAATCCGGCCTTAGATTCAATTTTGGTAAATCATAAGGATCTATTTCTTGACGATACTACTACCCACTACCGCGGTCCACCTGTTCAGTTCCAGTTTCAGTCAGATTTCCGGCCCCGGTTCTTCAAAGCTCGTACAGTCCCCTATGCACTCGCACCGAAGGTCGAAGAAGAGCTGGATCGCCTACAGAAAGCGGATATTATTGAGCCCGTGCAATATTCGGAATGGGCAGCCCCAATAGTTCCTGTTCTTAAAACCGATGGTTCTGTGCGCATCTGTGGCGACTACAAGCTGACAATCAACTCAGCAACTAAACTGAACCCCTATCCTCTTCCGCGCATCGAGGATCTGTACGCATCTCTCTCGGGTGGTCATCAATTTACAACTTTGGACCTAAAGCATGCCTACAACCAAGTCGTCCTAGATACTGAATCCCGAGACGCCACCACCATCAATACGCATCGGGGTTTATTTCGATATAAAAGACTACCATTTGGAGTAAGTTCGGCTCCCGGTTTATTTCAATGCTTGATTGATAATCTCGTGAAGGATATACCTCACGTTTGCGCATATCTTGACGATATATTAGTCACCGGCCCATCTGAAGTTAGTCATCTAGAGACTCTAAACATCGTGTTAGGACGTTTAGAGGACGCAGGTTTTAAACTCAGGAAAGATAAGTGCACCTTCCTTGCCGATTCGGTAGAATACCTGGGCTTCAGGGTGGATAAAACTGGCCTCCATCCACTCGAACATAAGCTCAAAGCCTTGAAGACGGCTCTGCGCCCCAACAATACTAGTCAATTGCGTTCATTCCTGGGGTTGGTCACCCACTTTAGTCGCTTCATGAATCAATCGGCTACAATTCTCAAGCCTCTTTATCGACTACTTGAAAAGAATCGTTGCTGGCACTAGTTGGAGGTCGAACAAAGTGCTTTTGAACAAGCGAAGGCGGCTCTTACCTCCTCATCTGTCCTAGTTCACTATGACCCCGAAAAGCCTATCATACTGAAATGTGATGCGTCTCCGTACGGCGTAGGTGCGGTTCTCATGCATCGAATGCCTTCTGGTGCGGAGATGCCGACTGCCTTTGCATCAAGAACCATGTCACAGGCGGAAACCAACTATTCGCAACTAGACAAAGAGGCCTTAGCAATAATGTTTGGCCTACATCGCTTCCACCTGTATCTTTTTGGCCGACCCTTTGAGATTCACACTGATCACAAACCCCTCTTAGGTTTGCTGGGAGAAAAACGAGGGATACAACAGATGTCCTCGCCGAGAATGCAACGTTGGGCACTCACTTTGTCTGCTTACACGTATGCAATGAAGTACATTACAGGTAGTGCAAACGTAGCGGCTGACGCCTTGAGTAGGCTGCCTATCGTGGACGATGGCATTAACGGGGCACCTGTTTTTGAGACGGTGAATCTTTTGCAGAACCTAGTCAACTCACCTGTAACCTGTCAACAAATTCGACAGTGGACATCGAGAGACCCTCTCCTGAGTCGGGTAAAAAGAGCCTTGCAATCTGGCTGGCCGTCCTCTACCTCCTCTGATTTTCAACCATTCTTCAGCCGTCAGAACGAGTTAAGTCTACAAGACGGATGCATACTATGGGGCAATCGTGTAGTTGTGCCACCACAAGGCCGACGGGCCATCCTCAGAGACCTGCATAATGCTCATTCTGGTACAGTTAGAATGAAAGCTCTCGCCCGCAGTTATGTTTGGTGGCCCAAAATTGACGCAGATATAGAAAACGTGGTGAAAGCATGTCACGTGTGCCAAATAACACAGAAGACCTTACCGAAGGTTCCTCTGAAGCCTTGGGCCTGGCCCGACTCGCCGTGGAAGAGGGTACACGTCGATTATTTTGGGCCATTCCAAGGCCATATGGTTTTGGTGGTAGTTGACGCCCACACGAAATGGATAGATGCGATTCCGACAGGAAATTCTTGTTCTTCACTGACTACAATCAACAAGTTGCGAACCGTTTTTTCTACTTTTGGGATACCTGAAATGGTCGTTTCAGACAATGGTCCGGCCGTTACTAGTGCCGAATTTAAAGATTTCATGGAGAAAAATGGAATTAGACATTTAACTACTGCCCCGTACCACGCTGCTTCAAATGGCCTCGCAGAGCGTACAGTCCAGACAATAAAGCACGGACTAGCCAGACAGACAGAAGCGGACTTGGCCACCAAGTTGTCACGCTTTCCGTTCAGCTATCGCATAACACCGAACGACTCAATCGGTGCTTCGCCTGCAGAATTGATGTTCAAGCGGCAGTTGCGCACACGACTCGACCTGCTTAACCCATCAACGCAGGATAGAGTCATTGCAAAACAGACGAAGATGAAAGAACGTTATGATGTGAACACCCGACCACGAGTCGTCGCGCCTAACGAAAGTGTCTACACGCGACTGGAACACGAAACGAACTGGTGTCCAGCGGTAGTTCGAACAAGCGAGGGGCAAATAGTGGAATTTGAGTTAGAAGATGGGAGAATTGTGCGTCGACATCTGGACCAAGTTCGAAGCCGAACGGACACAGCAAGTAGAGAATTCGGAAAGTTCGAACTGCCAGCAACCCTTGATAGGGATCCTGACATCCCGAGGACTGAACCCCTACTGCCTGCACAGAGCACTACGCCACCGACCGAGACGTATGTTCCACCTCCTTCTACCTCGTCCAGCACTAGCTTAGGGGCAGAGGAGCCAGTGACCGCACAAAGCGGCGCAGAGGTAGAAAATACCGCCCTGAGAAGGTCGACCCGAATCCGCAAACCTGTCCAACGCTTTCAGGACGAATCTTATTAGAACATTGTCTGACTATCCACTATTACCTTTACTGTTCCCCCCCCTCATGCTCTCCAATTTAGGGTGGAGGGATGCAGCGTATCTGGCTCGGGCCGTCAGGACATCATGCCACAAACGCGTGACAAGCGAACGATCAAGGTCATGGCCCCCTGTTCACACCTTCTTTGTGCTGATTGGCCACCCATTAGCCTATGACAGTCCCCCTTGCCATATACCCGGCCGTTCCCCCAAGCCTCCTGACTTGTGCTGTCTATCGTACTCAGTACACGTCCTATTTCCAATTAGCCTTCTGTTTTGCATACATAACACTGTTTCGAACAGCAAGGCTATTGTCGACGGTATTTAGAAAAATATTTAGGGGTGGATATGTAAGCTGTGAATTAATTATGCTTGGGGAATAAGTGCCAGTTAGTCTAGAGTTATTGACGTACGGGTAGCCAGCAAGAGAATTCTGAACGGGAGACCTAAGAGATATGGAGACAGATTTCGGACATTGAAATGTTAAGAGATTTAGAGCATTTAAGGGCTTGTTGGTAGTCAAGTTGTAGGGGAGGAAGAGGAGGAGGAGGAAGAGGAGGAGTACGAGGGGAAGCCCAAAAGAAAGTTAGAGGCTAATGGAGGAGGGTAGGCATCTATAAGAATAAAAGAGTTGGAAATCAGGTCTAGGTTGGAGGTCAAAGGATTTAGGTGGACTTATGTGAGAGCAGTTGGCCTTGAGCGGTGTAAAGCCTGAACTAGACTGCAGGATAAATGAATTAGGACAATTCCAGTACGAACTATTTACGGGATACACAGTAGTCCGTTGGTAAGTAACCGGTACGCAGGACAAATAATTATTTGAGGGTATAATTAGAGCTGCGGGGTTTAAAGACAAGCTGCGTTGTAAAGGCTTAGTAAATCTAAGTGAAGGCGGCATACTCCTAAATGGAATTATGCTACCCGTCTTTTAGGTCGAAGTCCGATCCAGTCTGGGGGTCACATAATTCTTACGCGATGCCGCAGGTAACTTCAATGTAGCACTCACAGGACCCTGTTTAAATGGGGAAGCTATGGGTCTAGCTGATGTAGACGGAGTTTCGTGCGTCCTAGGGGGGTTATTAGGAGGATTAAGGACGACAACTGGGACTGCTAATTTGGAGGCAGTCGAATGCGTTAAGTGGTTTGAGCGAGAGTGAGATGTAAGAGTATGGGGGAGGAGGGAGTCAGAATTAGCTGAATCGTGACGGCCACTTGTATTATGGCCGAGTTGGTGAGCATTTGACTGAGAGGATAAGGGTTTACATGACAAAAGGGCCCAATTCCACGTTCAATGGGGGAAGACCGTGACAAAGGATCAAATTGCAGATTGGCAGAGACACGAACTTGGTGGGCAAAAAGTGAATCAATCTCCATGGGTGAAAACAACTTAACCACAACGGACGGATTTTTGCTACGGAAAGACAGGCGTATGGCATCAGCTATTTTATAGTTAAATCCACACGAGTACAGGAAATCAGCCGCAACATCAACTGGCTGTGCAGAAAAAAGAATATCTTTCAACAAGAAGTTGTAAGCTTGTCTTAGTCTATCATTAGATTCACTGGCGATCAGGTGAACAAGTAAGTCAGGACGTTTGCATTCTTGAGAGGGGACATCGGGAATGTTCCCGTCGAACAATTTTCCGAGGACTGAGAGCATAGTGTCAAACTTTAGCCTAAGCTCGTTGCATTTGTAAAGTACAGGCAGATTAGGCCGCCTGTCAGCAACAACGGGTGACGAATGGCTAGTAATGCCTTCTGACTTAGATTTAGTTAAGTCGCGCTTAGGTACAGAGGACGAGAGCTTTCGCTGACCTATGACTTTTGCTTTCATCTGGTTTCGAAGCAGGTTACGATTAAGTAAACTTCTGACAGATAAGGTGGTCGAATTTCAGCGAGAGGGTAAAAATGTAAAAAATTTACACAGTTAGAGAGAGATCGAACGCACAAAATGCAAATTGCAGAATTCCACTGGTGGTTAACAGGCACAGACTAACAGAACTCGAAAAGGCAATGACAACCGATAGTTCAAGTCAGTTTACTAAGGGAATGAGACTTTCGCCCTTGAGCTCGCTATTCATATTGATAAACAGAAATACAATCAATGATTACATCAGCAAATGCGGAAATTCAAAAGTTAGCGTTAAGTGCGAGCCAGGCGCAAACTGCCGCCACTAAAACAATCGTGATTATATGTACAGTAGTTTCTCAGCAGATGAGCATCTAGTCTACACTTAAAGGATTCGACAGTTTCGGAAAGAAACACAACATCAGGGAGTCCGTTCCACGCTCCAATGACCCTGTGAGAGAATGCGTTCCGTCGGACGTCCGAATGAGCCAGCTCCCTCTGCAGTTTAAAGGGGTGTCCACGTAGGCGGTCAGTCCCGACCAATTCGAAGAATTCATCAATGTCTAGGGCACACTCATGGCCTCCGACAATCCTGTAGGTTTGAATGAGGTCGCCGCGCAGTTGCCTGTAATTGAGAGGAAACAGATTTAATGCAGCCAGCTTGGTTTCATAAGGCAGATGATGAAGATTCCTGACCATCCTCGTAGCCATCGCCTGTACTCTTTCCAGTCGTTGATAATCTTTCTTCAACCACGGTCGCCAGGCGTGGACTGCATACTCTAAGTGATACCGGACGAAAGTCCCATAGGTTTTTCCGAACAGCTCTCTATCGATCTGCACAAATCCTCGCCTAAGCGAAAATAAAACCCCTATCGCCCGTTTAGCTGCCCTTTGACATGGTGATGAGGGTTTCAGCAAGGAGGTCATTAGGACGCCGAGGTCTTTCTCTTCCACAAGATTTGAAAGGGACTGTCAACCAGGACGTATTGAAAGGAATCGTCCTCCTTAGTGGTCTTTTTGGTGCGGAATCTCAGGATCACACATTTGTCCACATTAAAATTAAGGAGCCAACAAGCTGACCAACTGTTCAGGCAGTTGAGACTGTCTTGAAGCAAGTACCTGCCGGCGTCAGATCTGATGACTCTCCACAGCTTAACATCCTCAGCAAACATGATGGCGCTGCATCCCAGGTCGCCATCGCAGTCGTTAATGTAAACCAGGAATAGCAACGGCCCCAAGACGGAGCCCTGGGGTACACCAATTTGAACGGGGGTTGGAGTTGACCTAGAGGCCTCGACGCACATGTTTTGTGATCTCAAATTCAAATTCAATTCAATTATTTTTATTAAAGACCCGTCGGGGTCCCATCAAAGCAAGTAAAAATAAATTTACATGCGAATTTTAGACGAGGTAGGCAATTTCTGTACAAAGTGCAATACATAGTTTTTGAGATTAGAAGTCCGTTAAGCAAAATGAAAATGAAATAAATGAAAAAATGAAAAAACGAGGGGTGAAAAAAAACTCCAAAGCAAAATGTAAAAATGATTGTAGTAATTTAACAGGAGAAAAAAAAACCCCTCAGAAAAATAGCATCAGAAAAATACAGGGAGGACTGGCCAGCATGTGGAGGTACAGAATGGAATATAATCCGACATCAACATGGCCGAAATAAATGTCAGCTGTATATGGCATTGTGTAACGGATTTCCCTCTAAGAAAGTCTGTTATCCATGTCAGCAGCCTTCCTCCTTTGCCAATTTCAGAAATTTTGTAGATTAGGCATTTGTGTGGGACGCTATCGAACGCCTTCTTGAAGTCCATGTAGATAAATAAATTTTTTTATTTAATGCCAGTTTACAGGCATTGTCAAGATGACGTCGACCTGCCACCCTCGTCCAGTGCTCGAGTCCACTGCTCCGTTGAGAGCAGTAAACTGGAAAGGCACGAGCGGTTCTGTCTGAAGCCGTGCTGCATGTCTGAGAGTAAGTGGTTCTGCTCCAGGAATTTCATCATGCTTTCTTAACTATGGCCTCCATTATTTTACAGCAGATGCAGGTGAGACTAACAGGCCGTTAATTGCTAGCATTAGTGCGAGCCCCACCTTCGTATATCGGAAAGATATTTACTGTCTCCCATTCCGATGGCAGCCTCCCTAATTCAAATGATCAGCGGAAGCTGTATGCCAGTCGTTTGGAAAGTTCGTTCGCAAATTCTTTCAAGCATTTGGCCCGTATATTGTCTAGACCCGAGGACTTTGTTTCTTTCAGATTTGAGATTTTGCAGCTCCTTTTACACGACAGCTGTCGGGAAGAGTATGGATTCAAGCACGAGACCAGCGGTCCCAACAGCATTGCTGGCACTGCGACTACAAAACTCTGTTTCCCTGGTAAAAATCGAGGCAAAATACCGTCCTAAGTGTTCGTCTTTCCCGTTGTTCTCAGTGATTTCTACACCATTATCATCGTTCAGTACTGCGACCGGGTCCTTGTTTTCCAGTCTACTGTTAAGATAGTAAAATAAAATCATGGGCTGCCTGTCGGATAATTTTGGATTCATAGTCCCTCCGTGCCTGCCGGATGCATTTTCTGACTGCATTTCGTTGGCGACGAAATTCTTCGAAATACATTGGTAACGCAGTTTCTCTGAATAATTTCTATCTTTTGCTTTGCTTCCGAAACAGCCTATTTAGGTCCCTAGTTAACCAATCAGGTCGACTAGTTGTTTTTTTGTAGTTTAGGCGGACAACAGCATCGAATAAGATCAAGTGAAATCGTCTTAAACGATCGCCAGTCGTCCACCGGATCTCTCCTGAGCAATTAGTCCCAATTCACGGACATCAATTCGTTCTTCATCGTTTTAAAGTCTGCCTTCCATATACTAAGTTGACCTTCTTTTCTCTTCTGGCGTTGAGAGAAGAGCGCGTAATCCCATCGTAGCGTAGTATGTTCACTTTAATAGTAATGAAAATCCGATTCCCAGGTGGCATATCAAAAGAAGAGGGGGCGTTCACCGGGAGGGGTTTATTTGAGATCCGACGTTTCGAGTAGTTTATTCGTCTACCCATCTCCAGGGGCTGGGAGGTCCTGTGCACAGCACTCCTTATTATGGCGCCCCTTGTCCAATGCGTGATCCGCCAATGCCGCCTGTGTGGCTGCATCCAACCCGCATGTCATCGTGACCTGAATCGCCCCCGTCGGCCGCGGTGATGACTGTCGGTCCCGATTGTCCCGCGCCGACTGTCCCCCGCTAAGAAGGTTCGTAAAGTCAGATAGGGGGGAGGCAAATTGATGTGGCGGTTGACAGAGCGGTCGGTGGACATCCAGGCTTCTTGCACTTGCCTTGCTGTGTGATAGCTGCCCCGGCCCACAATCTCAACGGCGTCAAAGTTGAAGATGTGTCCCATTTGCGCGGCATGGGTTGCTACCTCCGACTTTGGGTCCAACCTTCGCTGAAAGCGGACACCGAAATAGTTATTTTGCCTGCTGACAAAAGCCGGTCAACCGTCATCCTCGACAAGGTGGACTACCGACACAAAGCCCTCCTGCTCCTCAACGATCGAGAGTCCTACAAAGTCAGCGACGCCGCCAGTCTAAAGTCCCTAGTGGCAACGGTTATCAGAATTCTGGCTCGACTAAAAAAGGACAAGGTCATCACCGTCAAAGACTGGTATATGGCAAAGCCCGCAGAAACCGCTATGGCGAGATTCTATGGTCTCACCAAAGTACACAAGCCACATGTTCACCTCCGTCCTATCGTCTCACTCCGAGGCACACCCACATACGGGCTTGCAAGCTGGCTATTTCGGAAACTAAGATTCCTAACTGCAGACTCACAAACAACGCTGCACTCAGCAGAACAATTCCTTGACAAAATAAGGACAGTCACGGTCGAACCGAATGAAAGGATGGTGTCTTTTGACGTCGTCTCACTTTTCACGTCCATACCACAGGCCCTTGCAGTCGAAACGCTCAGTGACCTGCTACGTCAAAATTAAGACGGGGGCGATGGCCAGCCCACAGCTCAGGATCTCATAGAACTCATGGGGCACTGCCTCAAGACATTCTTTACCTTCGAAGGGACCACATACGAGCAGATCAAGGACACTCAAATGGGTTCACCAATCTCCGGACTCATTGTCGAGGCGGTTCTACAAAAACTCGAGAGACGACTATTCGAGGAGTACAAACCCAAGTTTTGGGCACGCTACGTTGATGACACCTTCGTAATCATAGACCAGGATAAAATCAACTACTATGCGGAAGTACTGAACTCAATCATGCCCGATCTACAGTTCACGATGGAAGAGGAAGTTGAGGACGAACTTCCATTCTTGGATGTTCTCGTCCACCGCCAACCAAATGGCGAACTAGCGACTTCGGTCTACAGAAAACCGACGAACACGCTGCAAATTCTCAGCTACAACAGCAACCACCCAGCACAACACAAACGAAGCTGTGTCCGCACGCTGTACCGACGGGTGGAAACTCATTGCAGCACGCCAGCCGCCAAACTGGATGAGATAAAGCTCCTCCGAGAAATTTTCAGAGCCAATGGCTATCCGCGGGCATTCATTGAACGAAGCCAGAGGCAGCCAAAGAAACGGAACGAAGAGCATAGTCAACCAAACTCGTGGCGGAGCATTCCGTACATTAAAGGGGTCTCCGAAGTCGTGGCTCGATCACTCGCGCCACTCGGAATAGGTGTTGCCCACAGGCCTGACTCAACGATCCGCCGGCAAGTGATGCGGCCGAAAGATCCGATCCCTAAGCAGGAGATGTCGGCCGTTGTCTACCGCCTTCAATGCAGCTGCGGAAGTTGCAACTACGTTGGGGAAACCGGCCGACGGCTGTAAACGCGAATGCACGAGCATAAGTTGGCCGTGCGAAGGTTGGACCCAAAGTCGGAGGTAGCAACCCATGCCGCGCAAATGGGACACATCTTCAACTTTGACGCCGTTGAGATTGTGGGCCGGGGCAGCTATCACACAGCAAGGCAAGTGCAAGAAGCCTGGATGTCCACCGACCGCTCTGTCAACCGCCACATCAATTTGCCTCCCCCCTATCTGACTTTACGAACCTTCTTAGCGGGGGACAGTCGGCGCGGGACAATCGGGGCCGACAGTCATCACCGCGGCCGACGGGGGCGATTCAGGTCACGATGACATGCGGGTTGGATGCAGCCACACAGGCGGCATTGGCGGATCACGCATTGGACAAGGGGCGCCATAATAAGGAGTGCTGTGCACAGGACCTCCCAGCCCCTGGAGATGGGTAGACGAATAAACTACTCGAAACGTCGGATCTCAAATAAACCCCTCCCGGTGAACGCCCCCTCTTCTTTTGATGGTCACTTTTCCCGAGAGGTGCATTGGAATGCACTTCGTCGATATTAGAGAAGTCTTTAGTTAAAACTAGGTCCAGGCAATTCGCTCTCTGGTTCTCTCGAAATCTTGTTGGTACCTTTACATGTTGCCCCAGAGGGAGATCGAGTGTGAGGTCCATTAGCTTAGTGCTGAAGGAAGTTGGCCCACCGTTGACTACCATAGTTTCCCATTCTATTGCAGGTGCGTTGAAATCCCCAGCAATAACAACCACTTGGTGGCTAGCTACGTCCTTGACTAAATGAAGGAGCGACTCATCAACTGCGCTCGGAAGGTTTGGTGGTCTGCAAATCGCCAGGAATTCTAAGTTTTGTGCATTAATCTTCTTTATCTTTATCCAGACGGATTCATATTTAAGGGAAGGGGTGTGGGCTCGTTAAATTGCCGAAATTCCTACCCTTACATATACGACTACCCCACCGCCCTGTCTATTTTGACGGTCTCTACGAAAGAGCTGGTAACCCGGTATCGAAATCTCGACATCCACGATTTCGGCATTAAACCAAGTTTCCGTAATGGCGATGACGTCGGGGATTCGTTCTGAAACTAGCGCTTTGAGTTCGTCGATCCTTGAAACGAGATTTTGAACATAAGTATACAAAAATCTGAATTTGGCACGAGAAACTCCGGCATACAGGCGTTTATCCATTTCCAAGGATTGAATGCAAAAGCCGGTCGGAGCTGATCGGGATGGACTGCTTTCCATCACTCCTAAGCTGTTAGGGTTATGGACTTTCTCCAGAGGAATGGCCTCTGGACGCGTATAATTTTCCCTTCCAATAATCTGAGATTTGTCTCGCCCAGACTCGATCGCCTGAGGACTTCAATTTTTCTCTCACCGGGGGTGAAAAGTCCCGCTGAAAAAACTGATGGATGGGCATTTTGGAGCGCAGATTTCCTGCTCAGCAGTAGCTGCGATTGTTTGTCATTCTGGAAGACAATTTTTAACGATCTCGATCGGTCTGGTTCATTTTGAGTCTTTTATTTGGCTCGTCCCGAAAGCCTTTAATACGGGAAATTTCTCGTCTCCTCTCAAGATCGTTTTGAGATATTCCTGAAATATTTATATGTCATGTTGCATTCTGTCCTTTAGAGTGTCGGAAACAGACTCAGGCATGCCCTTTATGACAATGCATTTACTGCGATCAACTAGAGGGCCTTGCGGTTTAACTACACCTGCAGAGACTGCATCACGGATATGCCGACTACCACCATTCAGCGATTTAGGAAGGTTTGATTCGGTAGGACTAACTCATGACAGCCTGTTTACTAAAGGAATAGGCTTGTACTTGAAGAAATTTAGTTAAAAACGACGACTGAAATCTTTGTGATTCTTAGAAAAACACTGTAAAATACCATCTTCCAATTATCTTCAGATTTGAAACCAACGGCTTGAACTTGACCAGGCGACTGATACGGAAAGCAGCTCGGCTGATGGAGGTGCACCAAATGATTCTGAACTCGGTTGATCCGTTGGAGTGATGAAATTGTCCAGCACAATGTCAAAGGGAAGTGATGACACTGCTTCGGGCTTAAGTGCCTTGCCGTAACTTCCTTGTCGAATTTGGTAGTGTTGACGAACATAGGTGCCAGCACCAACGTGGACGGCCTGGTGAGTTACCAGGACTGCCTCATTCCAGTCTGCGAAACTCGTTCAATAATCCCAAACAAAGACAGATTTGTCGACAGATGGACTACTGCGAGATACAGGTGAAGTTGTCTGCGCGAACTGTGCATCTGTAGAGAAGAGAGCATGAGGCATTTTACGTAGTTTGCGATCCACCGGCTCTTCGGTAAGAGAAACGTCGAAAAGGAACGCTGGGACGGTGTAGTCCAGCGAGAAGACAGAAACGCTTATATTGTCCTATTCGTGGCCCACTTCCCATGAGTTTTCAAGAGGGCTCTCTCGAATGTGTCGTGGAAACGCTCTGCTTGTATGTTTAATTGAGGGTGACTGAGCGAGGTGTAGAGGTGTCCAATTGTGGGTTCACGTGATGGTGGTAATTGGTCGCTCAATTGCTTGCAGGTGTAGACTACGCCTGGTGTCCATTAACTGGCACACAACTCTCACACCTGACTCCCCGAAGTTAGGCTCTGCCTAGCGGCCAAACCCCGGTAGCCGCCTCGACCGACGGGTCAAACCAGGTGAGGGTATCCGTGTGTGTGCATCTCGCACACAGTAGCCCGGCTCCGCTGGCCGGATGGACCATCGCTTAAGCATCTCTGAGACGAGAATCCGTCTGTAACATCGCTGGAGGCCACAGGATAAGTGAGCCCCCAGGTAAGCGAACATCACTCTGTTGGAATGCTAGGTGTGTGCTTGTTTGTGTTTGTCCTTATTGAAAGCCAACTAAAGTTCCTTTGAATTTTCTCTGCTGACTTTGCTTTTTGCTTGTTCCTGCTAACTCACCTCTGTCTGTTTGTACGTGCCCGTCCTTATGGTAAGCTAAATGCAGTTCTGTTGAATTTATCTGCTCAACGTTTATATTTCAGTAACCCGTTAACACAGAGAAGGACGGGAAACTCTCCCTCCCTGTTCTCTACTCTTCCCCCATCTCCCCTCCCAACTTCAAGCCGTACAGCGACGTCGTAAGCAGGTCCAGGACAATTCCGGTAGCTCTCTCACTAGACTAAAGTCATGGTCCATAGTGGAATTCGGCAACCGCCTGAGACAAATGAGCAACATTATGTAGGGAGAGCACTGTTCACCCAACGAGGGGGAAGAGGCTAGAAAATATGTCCTAAACAAATGCTGGGGACCCACACCGCCTGCAGGCTGACCGAGGTCGCAGACACAAAACACGGTCGAAACAAACTAATCCGAAACACCACTCTCTCTTCCACCTCCTTTACGCCGCCCCATTCGCCAGACAGGCAGGGTGAGTCCGCTCACTCTGACAACCTGGAATGTGCGTTCCCTTTCAGACAATCCGAGGAGCAACCGACCGGTACGGAGGACGGCACTAATGACGCGGGGACTGACGCGCTACAAGATGGACACTGCCCTGCTCAGCGGGACCCGATTCACCGAACAAGGCCAACTGAAGGAGGTTGTCGCCGGCTACACTTTCTGGGGTGGTCGTCCCAGAGCATAATGACAGGACGCGGGCGTCGCCTTTGCCATTCGGAGTAATATCGTGGGAGGACTGCCCTGTCTGCCACAGGGTATCAACGATCGCCTGATGTGCCTCCGTGTACCTCTCCGAGAGGCAAAGTTGCCAACATAATCAGCGTCTGCGCCTCCCCAAGAACCAGCCCTAACGAGGCAAGTAACAAATTCAATGAGGACCTGCACTTCCTCCTGGCGACTGTGCCGAAGGCGGACAAATCGACTGCCCTTGGTGACCTCAATGCCCGCGTCGGCACAGACCATGCTGTCTGGAGAGGAGAGTTGCGTCTCCATGGTCTCGAGTGCTCCAATGAAAATTTCATGCCCCTCCTATAAACCTGCGTAGAACACCGAATAATCCTGACCAACACCTTCTTCCGCCTCCCGATAACAGAGAAAACCACCTGGATACATCCTCGGTCGCTACCTTGGCATCTGTTGGACTATATCCTCGTTCAGACGCGAGACCAGCGGGAGGTGCTGGTGACAAAGGCGCTCCCCGGTGCCGACGGATGGAACGACCATCGTCTCGTCATCTCCAGGATGCGGATTTGCCTGCAGTCTCACAGGAGGCCTCAGGGTAAGCGACCACGAGGTAAGCTGAATATTGCTTTGTTGTCTTTGCCTGGTCACCTCTCCACTTCAACAACGAGCTAGCTTAATGACTAGCCAACCTTCCAGTCGCTGATGCCGCTGCCGCCGCCGCCGCCTCCGCCGATGCCGACGAGAACGCCTCCGTGGAGGACCGATTATGTCAACTGAGGAGCACAGTCCAGTCGACCGCATTGGCTCTTCTCGGTTTCGCACATAGTCAACATCAGGACTGGTTCGATGACAACGACATCGCCATCAGCAACCCACTGGCCGAGAAGAACCGCCTGCACAAAACCTACCCCAACCGCCCTACCGATGACAACAGCGTTCTACCATAGTCGCCGTCTTGTGCAACGGCGGCTGTGGGAGATACGGGACGTCTGGACAGCTCGGAAGGCAGAGGAGATCCAAGGTTACGGGGATTGCAACGAACGGAAGAATTTCTACTCAGTGATCAAGGCTGTCTACAATCTGCCAATCAAAGCAACTGCTCCTCTTCTCAGCACCAACGGCAGTACTCTACTCACAGAGATGGCACAAAGTCTGCAGCGATTCGCCGAGCACTTCAGAGGCGTCCTCAATCATCCTTTCCCCATCTCAATGCCGCCGCGCCCGTCTGCCTCAAGTGGGGACCAATGCCGACTTCGACCGCCAGCCCTCTCTACACGAAAGCATCAAAGCCGTGCAGCAGCTCTCCAGCGGGAAAGCGCCTGAATCGAGCATGATCACTGCTGAGATCTACAAGCACGGTGGTCCCCAACTCCTTGGTCATCTGCCGGCACTTTAGCCGGAGTCAAGGACAACTGAAGCAGGATTTCAAGGACGACACAATCGTCCAAGTTTATAAGCGGAAAGGTAATTGCCAGCTCTGCGACAACCACCGAGGCATCTCCTTGATGAACATCGCCGGAAAGATATTCGATCGCATGCTCCTTAACCGCCTCAACAACCACTCAGAACAGTGGATCCTGCCAGAAAGTCAGTGAGACATCCGCCGTCATCGTGGGACCACCGACGTATCACTTCCGCTCGCCAACTTCGGGAGAAGTGTCAGAAGATGCGAACCCACCTCTACTCTACCCTCGTGAATCTGGCGAAAGCCTTCGACACAGTGAATCGCGAAGGAATGTAGAAAATCGTGCAGGAATTCGACTGATTTGAGCGATTCACTCAGATGATGCGTCACCTCCACGATGGCATGATGGCGCGGGTCACGGAGAATGGAGCTGCCTCAGAGGCATTCGCAATGACCAACGAATTGAGGCAGGGCTGCGTCCTTGCGCCTACCCCCTTCAGTCTCATGCTCTCTGCCATGATAACTGACGTCTGCCGAGACGAACACCCTGGGATCCGCATCGCCTACAGGACCGACGACCACCTCCTCAATTAGCGGTGGATTCGCTTTTAGTCGCGTGTCTCCATTGCCACGGTCCATTAACTTCTGTTCGCCGTCGACTGCGCTCTTAACGCCACCTCCGAAGGAAACAAGCAATGGAGCATGGACTTCTTCGCGCCGTCTGTGTCAACTTCGGCCTGGTCATCAACACGGAGTAGACGGTGGTCATGCATCAATCGTCATCTGACGCTGCCTTCGGCGCACCCCAAATCAACGCGAACGGCGCTTAACTACAATTCGTGGACAACTTCACTTACCTGAGCAGCGCCCTCTCCCGCACGACCAAAATCGACGATGAATTGGCCCGCCGCACCCACCTCAACTGCTCTCATTGCCCCCGCACATTCACCCACCGCATGGGCCCATTAAGCACATACGTATTCACGAAAGGCTGCGTTAGACAACCGACGGCTAAACCACACCATCGCATCCACTCCATCAACATCTGCATCACACAACGCCCTCACCCACCACAAGCATCTAACTGCCACCTCCCACGCACAAGTTGGAAGTGTGCGTCTCGGCTCCGTCTCCACACGGCTCCTATCGCATGCGCTTGACTATCCCGGCGAGTCAAACGCTGTGGCTCGGAAGGCTGCTTACTGACGTCCCAATTCGGTCCACACAGTCTGCCCAGTTGTGTGTGTTTGTGTGGAGTGGCAAATTGGTGGGCTAGGAACCTGGCTGAAGCGGCTCCTTCTCAATGTGACCTAAGACACTCTCACGCAAGTGAGATGCACGCAACTCAACCCCCGTTGTGTGAGATCCTGGAGCCAGGCTGAAACGGCTCCTTCCCAGCGTGACCTACGGCACTCTCACGCATGTGAGATATACACCGCTCAACCCGCGTTGTGTGAGATCTTGATACTTGTGTTTGGGAAACCAGGTCGTGCATGTGGCGCGCGCAGACAAGGTCACTAGATATGTCAACCACCGCGTCCATTCCCCGCACCTGTCAACTGACCGGCTCTGACAGTGACTGGGGCCTGCGAATAGGAGGGGAGAGTGAGGTCGACGACTCAGCGCATTTTCCTCACAATAAACAATCGGACGCGCTTGAAGATATCACGGTGCGCTCGAAGCCGTGGCTTGGAAGGTTGCCAACTGACGGGGTAACTTGGACCTCGCAGTCGGCCCAGCGTTGTGTGTTTGTGTGGACCGGCCAGCTGGTCGTCTAAGAGTCAGGCTGCAATGGCTCCTTCCTAATGTGGCCTTTATGGCATAACCGCTCCGCGGGATCCGAGCTGGGTAAAACGGCCCGCCCAGGTTCGACTTCGGCCGTGCCAGTCGCTCCTATGTTGTTGGTCAAAATCCTGGTCATTTGCTGTGTGGATCAGGGGATGTGTAGTGGAGCGCCAAGGTGCGAGCTGGACCTGCCATCCACCTGTGCTTTCCCCCACCTCCGGCTTTCCTGACTGTCTTGGCGCCCAGTCCAGGTTGTGGAGGAGAGAGTGCGGTAGATGCAGCGCAAGTCCGCATTAACTATAAACTTAATCACGCGTAAGTCACCGTGTCTGCTTCATCTTGCTGTGGAGTACACGGTGAACATCGTCGGCAACGACGGTCGAATTATTGGTGGCATATGCGGTCGCCGGGTCAGTGGAGCGATCTTGGTCTCTTCGAGTAGGTATCGAACGAGACTAGGTATTAGATTTCGTCAAATTGGCCGTCCAACTCTATGTGGACAGGTGAACAAGTCTTTTCCTTTGTTTTTCATGCTACGGACGACTGACGGCTGATAAGGCGGTATCTTAACAGCTTGCTGACATCGGGAACGGCTTCGAACCAGCTCGTCGATGTCCCTGTCAATTCCAGGCTAGTAGGCAAACATTCGAGCAACAGACTTCATTCGACTGATATCAGCGTGAGCAAAATGGCATTGGAAAAGCGAAGCAGGTCGAAGAGGAGATGGGGTCACCATGCGTCCAAAAATGAGAGAGATATCGACCACGGATAGGAGTGTGCAGCTCAGGAAGAGCTGGCGAAGGTCACCGGAGAGAGCAGTGACTAGCCAACAGGTCTGCGTGTATGTAATGACTTGGCAGAGAACAGGGTCCCCTTTGGCAATGCGTCGGATGTCGACGACAGTGACAGCTATACCCCCCATGGCGTTCGAAAACTGACAACACACATTGTCCTCAATCGATATAGCAGCAATCACCGCATCCTCTTCAGGATCCTGATGATTGCAGATGAGGCGAAAAAGGTTGTCAGCTTGGCCAAAGTCGATAATGTGGCAGCATTGGATGTTGACATCGTAACCAAAAAATGGTTACACATCATTGTAGCAGGCTGATTGAATAGACCGGAATGTCTTCCCTCGAACACAATATTGAGAGCAGCAGTTTCTGGTCCGTCATCAACGTGAAGCGTCTACCGTACGACAGCCTCTGGAGCTTCTTGACGGCAAGGGCAGTGGCTTATGCTTCCTCCTCGATCTGACCATGGCTTTTCCCCGAAGTTAGCGTGTGAGGTGCGTGCACGATCGCCTTTTTAGACCCGCCAGCAAACGTATGCCAGACGAAAGTACTAGCTCTATAGTTGGAAGCGTCTACACCAACGACGATGTGCAGTGTTTGGTCCAAATGCGTGAAAACCAGATCCGGGCTGAGCGTCAACTTTAGTTGAACGAAGGCCTTTTCACAGACGAAAAACCAGCACCACGGATCATCCTTCTGTAGCAAACGGTTGATTGAGGACCATAAGTCAGACAGCGGTAACAGAAATGGCCTATAGTAGCTGATCAGATCAAGGGACGAAGGAAGTTGAGATGAATCGCTGGATGCGGGTATTCCCTGAATGGCACGAATACTTTCGGGATCTGGGTGGCGATCACTAGCGCCTAAAATGAACCAGAGATACTTGATCGACTCGAAGAAGAACTGACATTTGCCAAACCTTAAACAGAAATCATATTTCTTCACGTACTACGCACCGACGGTCTTGGAGCTCAGCAGACCATCGACCCACGATGATGCTGTCCGGTCGTACCCGGAATATCGGAGAGTATTGCATTCCTCGCTTGTTGGAATAAGACCGGGGTGGTCTCGCCATCAAACAGAAACCTAGTACATTGGAACAGACCGCGGTGGGCATTGATTGTAGGCCATTCGCGCAACCCTGAAGCGACTCCAACCTGCAAGTACGCGTCAGTTAAGTCCAACTTGGCAAAACAAGCGCCAACATTCAACAAGGTGAACAGATCGGTGGGGACCGAGAGATGGCAGCAGTTTGGCGACGGAGCGTAATTGAAATCGCTGAAAAAGTCCGTACAAGTGTGGATCGACCCACTAGGCTTTTTAAGCACAACGACTGGAGCAACCGATGCGGAGGAAGACACGGAGTCAGAGCCGCATCGGCTAGAGACACTAATTAGAGTTGCGAAAACCCCCATTAAAAAATTCATATGGCAATTTGGCGAGCATACGTCTGCTTCCGATAAATTCTCCTCAGGCCTGAAATAATGAATCAAAAGATACGGGCAAGTAGATAATTATGCTGTTGCTCGGGTTTGGGGAAGGGAGAGTAAAACACCAAAATTCCAGTCAGAGCTGCGACAAAGATGGGCCCCGAGAGAAGTAATTATATGCGGGCAGCTGGCTTGCTGGCTATGAACCATGGCAACTGTGGGATCTTTATGAAGTTCCTCTGTGCGAATAGGACTGGTAGGCGTAGCCTGATTGCAGTCGCCTCTGCCGTAGCCGACAGGCGCTCTCCAAGTAGTTTTGAATAGATTGATGGAACCTTGTAAATCCCTCGGAAGGCCCCTCTGGCGTCTACACGGTGGTCTGTGTCTACCATGTGCACAAGGATAGAGCTGTTGATATTCTTTATTTGACCCTTTCCTAACTGTGCTGGAAGATGTTCTTTCACACTTTTAGACAAACGCCGGCTCGTGCGACCAATATATTCTGCCCCACAGGAGCAGGTGAAGGAGTAATTACACATAAAGGTGATCTGAGCTGGTAGTTTGTCCTTGCCCTCTACGTATAGGATGGGACTAGTGAAGAACAGTACACGGGTGTCAGCTTCCGGAAAGATTCGTGATACAGCTTGAGTTAGGCGTCTTCCTAAAAGTTCACTTAGCGCGTCCCCTTGAAATGGAACTCTGATGAAAAGCCTTTTCTTTCCTGCTGCCAGCATCGGGGCTTTGGTGGTCTTTCGGCCAAGTTCTTAGCAATGAATCGATCAGGATACCCGTTCTAGCGAAAAAGACTTTCGGTGATCTTAAGTTCTTTCTCAATGCTATCAGCTGAGCGGATTCTTCTCACCTTTTCTGTCAAATAGCGGACTAAATTGCGTATAACGTTTAGCGGTACGAAATTCCCAAAATGAATGCATTGTCCGAATCGAGTTTTCTTATGATAGACGCTATGTCTAATACTGCGTCAGGCCTTCTACTCAGAAGCACGTTCAGAAAGGGAGACGAAACGGACTGTTCTTCTTCTAGCGTGAATTTGATTGATGGGTACGCCTGACCTAGCACATCCAGTGGAACTGAGACGTCATTTTGTTTTAGTGCATTTGCGAATATATCATCCACGTACCGCCTATAGTATCTCAGACCGTCGATCTGGTGACGTAGCTGGAAAGCCTCTAGTTTTCCCATGAGCATATTCGCCAAAAGCGGGCCAAGGGGCGAGCTCATAGCTACTCCGTCCATCTGTCTACACAGATTGCTGTGAAATAGGAACTGCATGCTCAAGATACAGCTCAATAACAATTCCTTGACGGCATTCACTGCCATTCCTATATTCGGTTGATTGTGTAATGAAATCACAGATGTAGTTGACCGTTTTTGTGACCCGTAAGTTAGTAAAAATAGATTAGACATCTAACGAAAACATAACCATTCCGTTCAGATCGAGGTCTTTCACGCCGTTAATGAATTCAAAGGTATCCCGATAGCTATGTGGCGCTAGTTGATACTGCAGGGGCTTAAGTTTATCCGCTAGTCATTTTGCCATTACATGGTACGGCGAGTTCCTCAGTCG